TCCTCTCCTCTTCCTCCTCCTCGTCCTCTCGTAGGTCCAGTTGCGGGAGCACGACACTCAATTTGCATGCGATGAATGGCGTTGTTGTGGTGCCCATTGTCTGCCCATTCCAACGGAAATCACCCGGTATACCCCTACTTCCTACTGCCACTCACGCAGCGGGATCACCCCTGGCTGGCTGGCTGGAGGGGTGATAAATCTTGCCTTTATTACCGTATCCCGGTGTCGAGATATGGCCCAGATGACATCTTCACACGTTACAATTCGTCGGGACAATCATTTTTGGCTCAAAAGTTGCTTTACCTTAAAATGTGTCATATTAGGCAGGTTTTACGTTAATAGCTAATAACCTGGCCATCTTAACAGGGTTTATTTTGGGATTTCATTTAATTATGTTTAACTATATTAAATTCATTGGGTTATCTATACCAAATTAGAGCCATTTAATGGGTTTATCTTCATTTTTTGGTTAGTTTTGGTTTGAAATTGCCGCCAAAATTAAATTTTGTAGCGTACTTTAACGTACTGTACCTTAAAATTGTGAATTTTGGAAAATTTCGGAGTAGGTGCCGTAGCGTGTGCAAGTTTTTAATACAAATTTTTACGCAAAGTTACGTCATAAATTATGTTCAAGCCATTGAAAAACGTAAAAATATCGTTAAAATCATCAAAATTGTTATCATAATAAAAAATTCATAAACTTAATACGGTTTTACTCGTTTCTACCCTCATTTTCGTTACTTTTCGAACCATGCCTTGTGCGCTACAACCTTTTGCAGTTTTTTTCTCTCTCTCACACACATTCTCTCTATCTCTCTCTCTCTCTCTCTCTCTCTCTTTCTCTCGTCTAAAATATCACCAAATCCCCTTCGCCCGTTATTTTGCCCTTTGCAACCTGCCCGTCATTTCCCCCCAAGCTACAAGGTAACGCGCCCGGGCTTTTTCTGTGATTTGGATGCTCGCGGAAACGTTATCACAACGTTTCTTCTGCCCCTCCAGAATCGATACCCCGTCATCCCGAAAAACCGACTGGGAGCCCCCATTGTTTTCTGAGGCCACATCACAAACCGATCCCTGCAGTGCTCCCTGATTTTCACGATTTATTTCGAAAGCTTCACGGGGTTTGATTTTTCAGCATTACGGTAAATGACATTGGAGTCTCATGAGTTCCATTTCCAAAAAAAATACTACAAGTCTGCCGTTTATTACACCTTTTTTACCCTCTATTACAACCTTTTCCAAATTCCAAAGGGACCTTTGCCACCCTGACTTTCCCCATAACTCGAAGTCGATGGCACCAATTCGTAAATATTTTCTGCGATCTTTTCTTTCTTTGTGCACTATAAAGTCGATTTTGTAAATATTTTATTTCCAGAATGGCGTCAACGATTCGCGATCAGATTCTCGCAATTCAAAACGTGCAAATCCCCCGACCAACCGTCCAAGGGTTCCAATGGGTGCAGACGCGCGGCAGGAACGGATTTTACAAAGTGTGTTTTTATAGTTTTGCGCCATTTGAAGAGCTACAAAAGAGAGAGAGAGAAAGAGAGAAAGAGAGAGAGAGAGAGAGAGAGAAAAGAGAGAGAGAGATGAGAGAGAGCGCGAGAGAGATGGATGGGGAGAGACAGAGAGAGAGAGAGAGAGAGAGAGAGAGAGAGAGAGAGGGAGAGACAACGAATATGAATAATAAATATTTTCACGGATGTGGTGGTGAAAATTCATGAATATAACGTGCATCATGCCTCTGGTAACTCTAATTACTTTTTAGTCCATCCGAGCCCATGGAGACCGTTACGGCCTAGCCATCCGCCCACAAGGACCTAGACGCCCGGCTCTTTCGCAGGATATTTTCCAGAGGTGAGCGCACGAAGTTGAATAGAATTTACTTGATGGTGGCTTTGGTGCGCCTTTAAAAGGACTAGTAAGTGCTAGAGTCGATTTCTTCTGCGTACTAGGTCTCGACTTGGAGTTAACAGTTTTTAAGGGGATTAGGAAGCACCAGAACTGTTTTCCATAAAGTACGTCTAAACTTGACTTCAACAGGCCTTTAAAAGCACTATTCAGTGCCAGAGCTACTCTTTTTGTAACTAGGTTTCGACGACAAAATAGCTTTTAAAGCGACTGGTAAGCGCAAGAATCCACCCCCTTCTATAGACTAGGTCTAGACAGTAACCCGACCTGCCAAATGACACGGAAAACCTGGTTGTCGGCGACTTTTAGGCGGATAAAAAATCCGCTGAGGGGCGCATTTTGCCGTGGCGCGTAGCGCATAGCGTAGCTGTCGATACCCAGGTGGCGAGAGGGTCGATTCCTGGACTTCCAGGTTCCCTTAGAATTGTTTCCGGATTCTTTCGGCCGTCAATGAATGCGTTCTTGAGCGGGAAATATTCAAAATTGAGGACCTCAAATCCATGTCTTGTTTATTTTCCCTGTTTCCTAAACCCAGATCAAAATACCGTATCAGTATAACCCCATCCATACCATCAAGTTCAACCCCCAAACAAACCATGCCCTTCCCCACCTCCTCCCGACGACCCAAACGAACTGTCAGTTCTGCCCGGTTTTTGATAGGGATCCCATGTCAAAGTCTAGATAAGGCTCCCAGACACCGTGGCACCGAAATGCTCACTGAAAAAAATAATTAATGTTTTGAGGAGCTCTCTAGGTTTAAAAAAGTATATAGCTTGACCCTGCGCTTCCGCAAACCTCAGAAAACTTAGTTAATTTTTGAGCTTCCGCTGCTGATAATCTAAACTGCTCGAAGGCGCCTTGTCAAAAAGGATGAGTAATGTTCGGAAGTCTCGGAATGATAAGCTTCCAGAGCTTACGAAGCTATTTTAACGATTGTAAAGTCAAAAACAAAATATTTAGGGTGTTAATGATATACAGGATATGATATACTGTAGATATTGATCGTTTAAATTGAATTTTCAGACCGGAAACCGTACAAGAAGAGGAGAGCAGCGACGGTACCGTATCCCCCACCCAGCCGGCCATGCGTCAGAACCGTAGCGCTCACAGTGTTGATTCGCACCGTAGCAGCTCGAGCAGCCAGGTAGAGAGCGAGAGCGAGAGAGAGAGAGAGAGAGAGAGAGAGAGAGAGAGAGAGAGAGAAATATGACGGCTCTGTTCAAACCCATTTTTTGCAGATCTCATCCGACGGCTCGCGTCGTTCATCTCCGGATCCAGAGCCCGACTACCCGTCCGACTACGTCCCACCCCAGCTCCCACCTCCCCGTCTCTCCGCTCCGCGCATGTCCGCCCCTCCGCGCTTGACCCACGCCGTCCCCAGCCGGGTCATCAAGCTGTAAGGAGTACCTCGACGTAGCGTATCGAAACGTACTCGCTTTACATTACCCTCCAGTCAACAACGAAAAGCGTGAACTTGTCAATATCTATGTGATTTAAGTTTGAATACTTTTTTGCTTTAAAGGGGCCGGCAAGGCGTGATTTGAGGGATTTTTTGGTCATAGATTATATTAGAGTTTTGCCACGATCACGACACGCGACGCGTTCTTCACCTGACCTCCTTAAGAACTTTGCAAACCCCTAGGCAACGGAAAACCGATGAGGCGCGTCGCGTGTCGCGGGTGCGGAAAATTGTAAGAGAATGCATAGTTGTCTTCGCAGTTTTTAGATCCTCTAGAAGTCTTGCGGCAGACGCGACATGTGACGCGTACACATCTGAAACCTCCGTACAAGCGTAGTAATCACTGCTGGCTGGAGAACCGGTTGTATGCGTTGCGTGTCATGTCAAAATAGTGAAAATCCATAGCCAAAAAAATCCAGAAGCATTCCTTTCCGGTTCCTTTAAACCATCTATTTATGCAATTTTCCACCCCATGAAAATTGTGGATTTTGATTTTTCCTCTAATCTAAATTCCCCTAGATCTGATGCCCGCAGATATTGTGCTTATCTAGATTTTGAGTCGCTACCACCCGAGTGATATTACTGTAGACATTGTCCGTGTTTTGTCCACGTTTTCTTACTTGTCAAACATCAACCCCTTGCTTTCTGTCTTCCCCGCATTTACCCCCGAGCACAAAAAGCGTCCAGTTATTTGTTTTTTGTGTCTGTCTAAAAATGCAGTTCACTGGCTAGTGAACTATCAAAATCTGTATACTTTAAAAAATTATTCTCTATTTTGGTCACAATTTCTGCCCCGTACTGGTTGTGAAAAACTGTCCGTTTGCTAATGTGTACATAATAAATTCTGGAAAATATAAATCGCATGACAAAGATAAGCAAGGAGCAAGAGAGCGCGAGAGCGAAAGAGCACAGGGCCAGAAAGGGAGCGAGAGACAGAGAGCGAGGGAGAAATGGAGAGTGCGAGGAGAATGAGGCAGAGAAATATTAGATAGATTGAGCGAGAGACGGACAGGACGAGAGGGAGAGGGAGTAAGAGAGCGAGAGAAAGAGAGAGAAAGAGAGAGAGCGAGAGAGAGAGAGAGAGAGAGAGAGAGAGAGAGAGAGAGAGAGAGAGAGAGAGAGAAAGAGAGAGAGCGCAAGATTTTTAAACCCATCGGCACTCAATTATCCAATTCTTGTAAACTTTATTGAGCACGAAACCGTACAAGGAAACACAAGAAAATTGCCAAAAAATTAATAGTACAGCGTAGAAAATACAAATAAATAACAAAATTTTATAGTAAAAAAATCTCAACTAATTTAAACCCGTGGTAGGTGAATAATACAAATTGCATTGCGTAAGCGGTGCGGTACCGAGGACAGGGCAAGGTTTTGAGATTTTTTAGGAGATTTTAACCCGAGGTGTCTTATTATGTAAAAAGGGGATAGGAAGGTTTTGTAGAGAATACATGGAAAATTTTTGAGTACACAAAGAAAAGCTTGAGAAGCTTGTAGTTTTGCTTGTAGAAGCTTTGTTTGTAGTCTGAGGCTTGAAATGCCTATAAGTAAGTAGGTTTGAACGCATTTTCCGGGATTACGGCCACAAGCTACAAACTCCATTCCCCCGCCTCAAACTTCCATAATGTACTCAGAACCCTCGAAAAAACTTCTGGAAACAGGAAACGCAGACGAAGAGGAAGAACAGCGAGATGAAGATGACGGCCGGGATGGAGATGAGCAGCGTGTTGGTGGAGAAGGAGAAGCCGGGTTCCTCGGTCTCGAATACCATCGTGCCGGGGTCATCCTGAAAAATCAATATAATTTTAGTACCATCCTGATTTTCGGATAAGCCTAAGCCCAAACCTAAGCCCTGGCGTAAGATAAGCCTAATCTACGCATAAGCTACGCTTAAGCTAAGCCTATGCCAAGCCTAAGCCAAGCCTAAACCCCAGCCAATGCCGAGCCTAATCCTAGGCTTAAGATCGAGAAAATCTGGCATCTGGAGTGGATCGGAATTTGCCGGCTCATTGATTTTTTTCCTGATTTTGACTCTTACCTGCATCGTACACAACCATCTAGGCATCATCAAATCATCAGAATGCTGTTGTGTACATTGTTGTCGACATCGATCCATACATGTTTCTCGGGTATCGAATGTATGGACGAAGGAGAGTTCTGGACCGCCGGGACGGTTGGACCTAAAGGAATTTGATGAGCTTTTGTTTTCTCTCTCGCTCGCTCTCTCTCTCTCTAGTCACGTAAAACATGATGTTCCACTCACTTCCTATCGACATACGGTCCAGCTGTGATGAGGGCAACGCTTCCGGCGAGCAAAAGGATCGGCAATTCGAGGTGATATCGTAACCGACGCATACCATCAAAGGGGCTGGACGTCCTGCAAACAAAATTTCAAAATTGGCGTGATTTTGTTCTCGAATTCGAACCCAGAAAACAAAATTTGAAAAAATTCTCTGGACGAAGGAGAGAGCGAGAGAGAGAGAGAGAGCGAGAGAGAGCGTCAGAGAGAGAGCGATCAAGAGATAGAGGAAGAGAGAGACAGAGCGAACTACTCATTGAATTTTTGAAGGGAGCGTGACAGAAAAATCCTTCTTTATCCCCTTTTTCCAAATTAAATATTTTTAGCAAACCTAAGCCAAAGCCAGTTCTTTTTCATAACTATACAAAGAATCCGCAAAATTCATCAACGCGAATCAATAGAGGCGACGAAAGCGGAAAAGGGGGGACTTCGGAAGGGAGAGGAGATGAAATCCGGCCTCCCCGAGGGATTATCCAATCTGACAGCCAGTGGGCAGTCTCGGCCACATGCCATGGACACACACAGAGGCACAACGGGACACACCTCACAACGGTCACCCCGGGGAGGGGGAAGAGGAAAAACAGCCAGTGGGGGATGGAATGAATTAATTGTGGGAAAAGGATAATAATAGCAAAGGCATAGAATGTAATAAATGAGTAATTAAAAATATCACACCGTCTGATTGACTAAAGGCCTTTCAGGCGAACTATGAACTTTAGCACGTTTAAAAGAATTCGAAAAAGAACGAGAGAGATAGAGAGTGAGAGAGCGCGCGAGAGAAAGAGAGAGAGAGAGAGAGAGAGAAAGAGAGAGAGAGAGAGAGAGAGAGAGAGAGAGAGAGAGAGAGGAGAGCTAGATAAAGTATCATAAAAGGGAGAATATTTCATGATGCATGATCCCGTCCGCTCAGTGAATGAGGCGCACATAATCACGCTGGCAAGGGTTTCGCGCTAATTCCTAAGGTTTTCGATCGCTAGATCTTTATAGTGACACAATATTGATAATCAGCTTAATCCAAGCTTTTTTTTAAAGGAAAACATCCGTTTTTCATTTTTTAGACCGGGGAAGCGCAAACGTCAACCAGTGCTTTTGTATCCATAAAATCATTCTGCCAAGTTTCTGAACTAATAAATCAAGCAAACTTTACCGTACTCTCTGAAAAAGGATTCCTAAAAACAATAGAGGGAATGAATCTAAGTGAGTGGCACCTTCAGAACTTCAGACGGGTAAAAATGGGTCTCCTCCTCCTTCAAGAAGAAGGGTTCCACCTCCTCCTCCTCCTCCTCTTCCTCTCAATCGGCCACAGCAGGGATTATTTAGGGATTTGGGCCCCCACCCTGGAACCAAGGACGCGTCAATTTCTTTAATTTCTTTTTGTGAAGGGGGTTGGAGAGGGGTCCCGTAGCGGGTGGAGAGAGAGAGAAATTCTCCCAGAGGGTCCATCTTGAATGACCAAATGAGGGGAGGGTTTTCTCCCTCGCGCGCTCTCTCTCTCTCTCGGCTTTAAACACGCCGTTCAACGCGAAACAAGAGCGCATTTGAATGCAAGATTGACGACACTGGGGTCACCGTTTAGAATGTGGCCAAATGAGATGCAGATTTAGGGAAAACATATGGCCAAAGGTCGAAATTACGGTTCATTTCGGCTGAGAAGATTTTAAAAATTTTCTCTCCGGCATCCTATTGTCTCTCTCTGTGTCTCTGTGTCTCTGTGTTTGTCACTGTCTCTGTCTCTTTCTCTCTCACTCCCTCTCTACCAATTTCGCACTCACGCTCGTGCTCTATTTTTCAGATGGAGACAGGAAGAGAGACAGAGAGAGCGGGAGAGAGCGATAGACAGCGAAACAGAGAGAGAGAGAGCTATAGAGAGGCATCGATACGGGGACAGCGAAAGAGCGATAGAGAGACATCTAGACGGAGAGAGCGAGAGAGAGAGAAGTGAGAGAAGCAGAGCGTGTGGCAGCGTTCGATAACTTCTTAACCCTCAAAATGGAACAGTCGTATTCAGAAGTGGCCAAAAGTTTGAGGCCAAGAAGCAGTATAGGCCATTGGTCACGGCTCATTGTCTTCCCCCGTCCCTCCCCCTGCTACTCCCTGGGCCCAAAGTCATTCGGTTAGGGACACGGCCGCCGGGGGCCACGAATTTCCTCTGCCCCACCAGAAGCCAGTCCCCCTGCCCGGCCTTTTCGTGCTTGGGTTCGACTTCTGCCCTCATCGGGTTGGGGGTTGGGCTGCACAAATTGCAAAATTGGCATCACCCCGTTACGTGGGTCCCGATCGGGGGCATGGGGCCTAAGGATGGCCCTAAAGATGGCCCTAGATGACCCTAAGGAAAGTTCGCAATGATGGCCCGGGGGATCAGGGGGTAATTACTGGATCCATTGCCTTAAAGTTAAATTTGGAACTATATACGTTGGCTTCGTCATTATTCCATCACACAATGTGCGAAAAACGGCAAACGTACAGAGATTCTAAAAAGTTTCGAAGATAACTGAACTTTTCCTTGTTGAAAAACAGGGCAGACGAGCGGAGATTCTTATGTATACTTTAGAAAGCTGGCGATCAATTGTCTTTCGCAGGTATCTGGCAGAGCAGCGGAAACAAAAATCCGTAACAAGCATACCCCTTTTAAGCATCGAATATGGATGTCGGAGTTAACATGGAGAGATTGAACAGATAGTCAGCAGAAACGAGCCGAGATTCATTGAGAATTTCAAGTTCGCTAGCTTGGCTGGCCATGATTCCAAATGTTCACTAAAATACAACCCGATTGGGCATATTCCTGGCGAACCGAATGGATTCTGATGAGCGGAAAACGAGGAGCGCCTCGTTAATTGCCGGAAATTAGGGTAGGGCGCCTCCGTTGGGAGTCGGGGCGTGCCAAAACGGAAAAGATTAGAAAAATTTATGGTGACCCTCAAAAATCAAACAGGCTGAATAGAGTATTGGTGGATGCAGAAAAATCGGCAATTGAGGCAACGGTGGGAAAGTTGGTAAAATGAGCCCTGCGCTTGGGCGGATTGTTTCGGATTGAGGGAAAAATTTATCGATCGTAATTTGGGCGTATGGTATACGTAGGCTCAGGCTTATGCTTGAGCGTGGAACCGGCTTCGATAAATGTAAGGATTATAATCGTGTGATAAAAATCCATCCGCTTCCATAAAATACTCTAGTTGCACATGTGAAGCGTGGCTTTTGGCCCACACGTAGCCGTGCCGGGGGGATTAGCGGCGACAATAAAGGGCAGAATAAATTGTTTATAGCTTGTCTAGCAGAGAAAACCGGGCATCTGTTTTTCCGGAAGTTAGGTTTCGATGAGAACTAGGCTAAAGACGACCAACATTAAAAACATAGAAACAACAGTCGCAGGTGTTCCTGAAGGATCTCTTCTAGCTTACCAGTTGTGGCAAAATCAACAGGAAACGCTCCGAAATTATCTCGGCTAGCTATCCTTTTTCCTAAAGAGAAAAAGCCAGTCCTCAATAATCTTTGCTAGCTACCCAATTAGGGCAAAAAAAACGGGAAACACTTCCTAAATAAGCTCTGCTAGCTTGCCAGTTGTGGCAAAAAAACAAGAAACACTCCCAAATGATCTGTGCGAGCTATCCTTTTGCTTAAAAGCTAAAGTCATCCCGCAATAATCTTTGCTAGCTTGCCAGTTGATGCAAAAACGGAAAACATTCCCGAAAGACCACTGCCAGCTTGCCAGTAGGAGTCCAAAACTTCACAAATGATCCCTGCTAGCTTGCCCGTTGATATCAACGGTGAGAAAGCTTCCCAAACGGTCTCTGCTAGCTTGCCAAAAGATGCCCACAGACCGAAGAAATTCCCAAACGATCTATGCTATGTAGCAGTTACTCAGCAAATTTGTGTGGTGTCATATTATTGCCGGCGGCTTTTCGCAATCCCCCAACGGCCCAAAATCCCATTATCGGCGCCGAATAAATGGGACCCAATCGGTGTGTTGGCCCTTGGTGGAGAGGGGAAGGGCATATAGCAGAGACCACAGCGGACACCCATTCCTCCATTTCCACCGCTTATATATTGTCGTCAGGGCCGAGCGGGGCAGTAGCCGGCCCTCCCGTGAATTGCCTCAAATTCATCAATTTTCGACATTAACTGCCGGCCGTAGGGGGGTCGTCATTCGGAAACCTATTATTTGGGCGTACGCCAGGAAGGCGCAGAACAGATTCATTCGCATCGGGTTGTATAGCGGAAAAGCAAAAAAAAGTACAGTAGAAATACAGATTATGCTACTATGCAATAAAAGCATTAGCTGCATTTGCAATAAACAAAACTTAGTCTTATTTTTAGGATTACAAATAAAAACAGACTATTTAAATAG